GCACTGGAGGATAATGGGTTCCTGGTAGCTTCATATTTGATTCTTCTCAAATCTCTGGTGGTTAATTTGCGTCTTTTCTTCTCAACATGTTTCTGGCGACCCTGGTGACTATTTGCTATAAAATGTTTGATGGTTCTGTGATCACGCCCCAATATCTTAGATATTTCAAGAGTGCTGCATCCCTGTGAAAGACTTTTTACAATTTTTGACTTTTCAGAGTCAATTAAATCTCTTTTTTGGCCCATTTTTCCAGAGGAGAACATTCTGCCTAATAATTATGCACACCTTGATATAGGGTGTTGATCTCCTTAGGCCACACCCTCCCTCGTTACACTAAAACACATCACCTGATATGCATTAAGTCCAATAAGCGTTCAAGTTTATACTGCTTGGAGTTGAAAATTATGGATAAAATGATGATATGGTCCAAATACTCACTTGCCTAATAATTGTGCACACAGTGTAGATGTGCAAAGCTGGTAGAGACATACCCCAAATAAAGCTGCAGCTGTAATTGCAACGAAAGGTGCTTCGACAAAGTATTGACTCAAGGGGGCTGAATACATATGCACGCCACACTTTTCAGATTTTTATTTGTAAAAAATCTTGACCACATATCACTTTCCTTCCACTTCACAATACTTTGTGTTGGTCTATCACATAAAATCCCAATAAGATACATTTAAGTTTGTGGTTGTAACGTGACAAATGTGGAAAAGTTCCAAGGGGTACAAATACTTTTGCAAGGCACTGTATACATATGCCATGAATGTCTGTTTAACATTGACAGTCAGTTAACATGATGAGCATAGATAGAATTATAATCCAGCTGTTGTGTGTCAGTTTATGAGCTGAGGTTTGCTCATGTAAACATGGCCGATAATGAAACGGAGAGGAGATTCAGGTAAGAAGGTATTTACAGCAAAAAATACATACACATGAGTGCAGCATAATTAATGTACTAGTGGGACTATGTGAGGCAGCCACACTATGTTGCTTTTCTGGACCTTGTAAGTGTAAGTTCATGTGTATTAGTGAATAATTACAAGTTTTGTGAGGTTGTTTGCATCTATAATCAACTGCAAAATACAGTTTGGCCACAGAAACTGCAACAAGTGTGTGTGTGTGTGTGTGTGTGTGTGTGTGTGCGCGCGTGTGCGTGCGTGCGTGCGCGTTACCTGCTGGAAAGCCTGGTTGAGCTGGCCCTGCTGGAGAAGCTGCAGGATGTTGGCCTGCTGTGTCTGGTAATCTAGACGTGCTGTGGGGACGGGTGTGCTGGCCGCTGACCTCATCGCCTGCATAATGCTGGAGGTGACCACTGCCTGCTGCTCCTTCATTGCCAGGCTCACCTCCCCTTTGACAATCCGCTGCACATGGCTAAGAATAGACTCCTGCAAACTGAGGTGGAAAAGAGCCTGGGTATGTCCAACATGCACAACGTAACAGTTTCAGGAAGATTTCCCTTGTTCAGTCATATTTTTGTGACTGTAATCTTCTCTTTGTGACAACAAAAAAACTGGCTCAGCTCAGTCAGGCATTGTTATTTCTCTCTTCAAGACTAAAGTTTTAGTTGGCCAACTAGTTTCTCTCTGCTCTGCCCTCAACAAATCTATAAACTCTAGAGGATGTGAAATTAATTGCAGAAGGAACAAGAGACTCCATCGAATTTATGTTCTTACATTAGCCCCAGGATTACGTTTTGCTCGTTTCTTCTCTCTAATACATTACACACCTGCACAATAGGCAATGAGTAAACCCAGGACTGCTGGTACAGGCTGATATGCATATCTGATAATAAACATGTCTGCTTAGAATGTCAATCAATGACTACATGAAATATCAGTCAACAGTGGGGTTCTTTTGAAACTTGCCAGCACCACCCAATAGTACTGAGTGGGCGATGACAGTGATTTTTGATCATTAAATAGGGGTGGGAGGAAAAAAAAAAATCACATAGAACCATGTTTCATATGTTCTACAATTCTGTCACTGATGATGGAACAAAAAAGGCGGAACTCAACCGCGAAGCCAGTGTTGCACATGGACAGCACACACAGACGAGAATTATGTTGTAGTTCATCTTCAGACAAGGAATTCGTTTGCATGTGTATTAATCACTTGATAATGAGCTTTGAAAGACAAGCATGGAGGACTGCGTGAATACTTCGCAGTTCATTACCAACAAACCGATATTAGCATCGTACCGAACATATTAACAAACAAGCAGCTCAGCAACACACTGCAACTGTTGGTCAAACTGGTGAGACAAAGAAAACACCTCATTTCTACAAACACACTGGCTTTCTCTGGTAGCAACACAGCATCACAGATGCCATTCTGCACTGCTGTCGACTTAACTTTAACAACACAACCAAGCACTCTGCTTTGTTTCTCTGCCACCCCTTAACAATACATACCAGCTACCACAAACCAGTGGTGGAAAAAGTACTCCGATTATTTATTGAAGTAAAATTTTCAGTACCACAGTGTGAAAATACTCTAAGGCCTGCATTACTTAAATAAAAGCACAAAAGTATTAGCATCGAAATATAACCTAAAGTAAAACTGCTCATTATACAGATTGGCATAAGGATCTAGAGTATTTTAACAGTATGCCAAGGTACCAGAGAGTAGGATGAGTGGATTGCAAACTGTGGATTTGTGTTCCTGGTACAGCTTCTTGTCTCTGTGTCTGTGGCAGCAGAGTCAACTGTCAACATACTTCTTATCAAAATAAGGATAATCACCTTTATTGGCCAAGTATATTACACATAAGGAATTTGTTTCCGGTACAGAACCGATGGCAGCCATCTGCGGCGCCACCTCAACCGATGGCTCTAACCATCGGGAGCAACGAGGGGAGTTCAGTGTCTTGCCCAAGCACACTTCGATATGCGGACTGCCGGCACCGAGATTTGAACCTTCAACCTTCTGGTTGGGAGACGACTGCTCTACCCACCGCACCACTGCAGCAGCTTCTTATTTTTAAGCAGAGCTTTTCACTGGTTAAAATGAATATAATTCCATGAATGACTTGATACTAGAATCAGACCTGACCAAATCTGGTTTTGAAACTTTGTTTTGAAAGTAATCTCATAAAAATGTCGGTTTGACCTGGTGTCTTGTACATACTGCATATGTTGAATTTTTTTTTTTTTTTCTTATGATATCGAGAAAAGTTATTTAAAAAAGTAAATGTGCACCTAAACAGTTTCATTTAGTGCCATAAGGACCCTAAAAACAAATGCAAGAGTAGAGCCCTGGTTACAGCCTGATCACATTTAGGGAAAACCATACTGTAGCAAGCACGGGGAGAACATGCAAACTCCAGGTTGGCCGGGGCTCAAACCCGGAACCTTCTCGCTGCGAGGCAACAGCACTAACCACCGCGCCACCATGCTGCCCCACCATTGATTCATTGGAGATTCAATTCACTTCAGTCACAAGTGTCTAACTGTAATTCATGAGGGACAGCACAGTACATACTTTCCCACCATCATCTGGATCTGGTGCTGGACCTCTGACCGGATGGCAGCTGTGATGTTAGTGGCCAGCTGATCGGTGGAGCTTTGGAAACTGTCAATCATCTGCTGGAGCTGGCCAATCACGGGGTCTTGTGTCTCGTGCTCTCTCTGCTTTTTGTTCTTCATATGAGTCTCAAGCTGCTGGATGTCTGCAAAGATAAAAGTAAAATAAAAACAAAAACAAACAAAAAATAAAATCTTTGCCCCAAATAAGCAAACGTAAATACAGCCAAAGTTCCATTAAGCATTATTTTTTACACCAACAGTGAATCAATAACCTGCTGTCAAAAGTTCCGCTGTCAAGCATCTACCACCATTACTGCGGTGGAATTGAAATGAACACAATTACACAGAATGAAAGCAGAGACATTTGGGCCGTTTGTAGTCGGCAGTCACCCTCTCCAATAGATTAGGGCAGGTGTGTGTGTGTGTGTGTGTGTGTTGTTAACAGGTTAGCCAAGACAATTCAATAAGCTGGTGTGTATCAGTCATTTCAGTGAGTTGTGAAGCGTTTAAGTGATTCAAACTGAATAGCGGTTATTAATTACAAAGAGATTTCCCTAAAGCAAACACAGTCTTGACCCTGGTTTCAATACATTTTCTTTTTTAATGCAAAGAGCTCCTATTTATTGTAATAAAACACTAACAAAATTGAGGTTTTCAACATAGTCTGCATTTCTTCTTTTCGCTCTCCTCTATCCACTCACCCCAACTGGTCGAGGCATATGGCCACCCACCAAGAGCCTGGGTCTGTCAAAGGTTTCTCGGGTTAAAGGGAGTTTTTCCTCCCCACTGTCCCCATGTGCTTGCTCAAGGGGAATCGTTTCATTTTCCTTTTAAAAGTGTAAGGTCTAAACCTGATTATGAAAAGTGCCCTGAGACAACTGTTGTTGTGACGTGGCACTATACAAATAAATTGAATTCAATTGAACTGTAATGCATGTGCCTTACTGTAACTCTATCAGATAGTGATTTCTTCAGAATACAGGTTCATATTCAATGTCCAGCTGTGTGTATGATACTTTAGGGGGGATAGTTCATTAATGTATCAATATATAGATTACACTTATGTTACTGCACCTGAATATAACAGACAAACTTCACACCATGCAACCACAACAAAGATAAAATCTATGTATAAACAACAGAGCTGAGGGACAGTTCCAAAATGTTCAACTTGTGTTGCAGTAGGTTATGCAAGTAATTTTTTAAAAGTCAACTACATTTTGCTTTTTCTTTGTTGACAAAAACACAACTTTTGATTTTTTTAAGGCCGACTTACATTCTTGTGTTCCTTGTTTGAAGCTGTCATTGATTTGCTGAAACATTGACTGGCAGCCTCTCTCAAACACAGGCAACACAATACTCTGGAAGGCATCTTTATAAGCTGCCTGGATGGGCCCCTGCATTGCCTCAGCTGCTGCTCGACCAATAGCATCTGTTATGTTCTGGAAACCAGGAAGCAAAAACAAGATTTGAAGACATTAATTTGTTTGTACAGGACTTATGGTGCATACAAAGAGAAAAGACAGGTAGCGACATAAATCAGCAACATACTTTTGATTTGACCACCTTGGTAACATTGTCCTTCAGGGTGACCTCCACCGCAGTTAGCTTAGCAGCAACTGTGCTGCTCAGCTGACCTGTGATAGGCTCCAGGCTCTTAGAGATTGCTAGAGAGAGAAAGGAATTAGCAAGAACTCTATTATTAGACATAAGATCAAGGAAGGAGGAAAAGACATTAACATCTCATCCTTGTATTAGAGGGCAAGAGAGGCAAGGCAAGAAAACCTCTCATAGACTGCTTAATTTTAGTGTCAGTCTAACACATCTCAGCTGCCTTTGTTATATTAAATTTAACTTGTGTCTAGGATGATCTCAAACATTAAAATGCATAAGACTGTGATTTACTGATGTACAAACTTGTGTGAATTTTGTTCACTTCTCCATGCTGCAAAACTAAACTTTACAAAGAAGATATAAGAAATAAAAGAAACAGATCAGCAAGTAGGTGAGATTTACTTCAGCTATCAAGGGCATTTTAAACAGGCAACATTTAGATCAGGGATGCTGTCACTGATTTGCTGACACACCGACCAGCAATAATTCTGACCGTATTAAACTAGAATTACTGCATTGCTGTTGTATGCCAGGGCCAACCATTCACGTGAGGTCAGTGACCTTGACCAACAAAATCTAATCCGTTTATCATTGAGTCAAATTTGAAAAAATTCTCTCAAGGTGTTCCTGAGATATCATGTTGACATCATGCTGTCAGAATTTAAAAACATTTTCATATGAAAATAAATTGAGCTCATATTATTATTTTGAAGGTCATTTTTGTACAGACCTTTGTCCATAGTAAAATGTCTGATCATCATGAAAACAGCTACTGCAGATCTGTTCTACATCTGTTCAGTTGGCAAAACAATAAAGTGCATCAGAGCCAACATCTGGTAAGGAGTGACAGGAGACAGCCCAGCTGACCAAATCATTATATAAAGTCAGGACATTGTCAGACAAGATCAACATAACTACAGATTAATAGCAACAGCTGTGGTGTATGCTCTCTATATCACTGTTATCACTGATACGTGTGATAACGGAAAAGGTTAGAGATGATAGAATGTTATTCTCTTAACTTTGCTGCCACACAGCCCATTACACCTCTGGTCAGTGTGCTCCTGCTCTCTGTGGTCAGCTATACCATTTTTAACCCCGCTCAATTTAACATAACATTTACATATTTTTTGTTTCTGATAATAAATAACTGAATGAGCTATAATATTCCATGCGGACCAGCAGTCATTCCCGAGTGATAAAATTGTTACTTTATAATTGCAATGTCAGATAGAATCAACTTAAATCCAGGTTAATAACTCAACTGTGTAGTTGGCTGTAGTGAAATGAAAAACTGCAACAAGAAGAAAAAAAAAAAAGTTCAACGATCCATTTTTCAGGATGAAAGCAAGACTACAAGTAAATGAAAAGTAACATTTGATAAGAACTATGACAAAAGGTTTTACAATTTGTCATTAGTAGAAAAATACTCATATGTTGCTACTGTATTTTGAGGGTCAAACCTGTTTCCTACACAAACCTTTAAGAATATATTCCTTGCAATACTGTGTGTGCACATCCTTACTTTGTGGGACTGTTTTCTTCAGTTCCTCTCGTAGCACTTTGTCCATTCTGTTGGTGAGGGCTGTGCTGAGGGTGTGGCTGAGTTGCTGGCTGAGCTGTTCTTGAAGCTGCTGCTGCTGCTGCTGATTCTGGCTCTCTGCCAGAACTCGCTCCAATCTGAGCTCTGAGGTCATGGCAGGTCAAGGCTCAAAATAATAGATTATGAAAGGATCACCATCAACATCAGCACATGTAAAGATACAGTCAGGTTAATAAATATTGGGATAAAGTTTTTTGGCATTTGGCCTCTGTTACAGTCATTTTCTCACACACACACACATTTTTGGTGGGTCATAAATAATGCCTTGCTGCCTTTACTTGTCTTCAGTACATGAAAAGCATACTCTATTGCACGGGTGGGCAATTCCAGTCCTTGAGGGCCGCTGTCCTGCTTGTTTTCTCTTCCAGCTTCTGACTGGCTGAACACACCTGAGCCAGGTAATCAGCAGCAGGTCAGGCAGGGTAGTTGGAAAACAAGCAGGACAGTGGCCCTCGAGGACTGGAATTGCCCACCCGTGCTCTACTGGGTTGAGATCAGGTGACTGATTTGGCCAGTGAAGAATATCCCAATTCTCTGCTTTGAGAAACTCTTGGGTAGCTTACGTTGTATGTTTGGGTCATTATCCGTCTGGAACATGAAACGGTGTCCTATCAGTTTTGCAATATTTGGTTAAATCTGAGCAGAGACTATAGCCCTATACACTTTAGAATTCATTATGCTACTTTTATCAGCTGTGAGGTCATCAATCAACACCAGTAACCTGATTCCACTGGCAACCATACATGCCTGGGGTGTGGACTGGGGGTTATGCTTTTCTTTGAAAGTTTCACAGACCATGGAAACGAAAAATAACAAACCTCAAAACATGCTCAGTGAGTAAGAAAAGACAGAAGGATACGTTCCTGCTCCTGGTGATTTGTCAGGACGTGCTCTACCTGGGCCATAATGGAGGTCTGCATGGCTTCAATCTGACCACGCAGTTCAGTTAAGTCCCTCTGCTGACTACGCAGTACTATCAACAACTCATCCTGCACTTCTGCATTCATCTATGAGCAGATGGAAAGAAGGGTTAAAAAGGGAGACCAAACGAAACCAAGGACAATTCTTTCCTAATAGATTTGGAATAGCAATCTTATAAGCTGGCTGCTCAGCACCCATAAGCTGGTTTTGACATTTTCTTGTTGCTTTGTGGCCAAAAATTAATTAACGGCTTACGCAGGGTGCAATGTGCTTCCAAAAGAACACATAATATAAGAATTTAAAGTAAAAACATAATATCAACAATATTCACAGATTTGTTTGTGATTGCTGTACCTGACCAGAGTCCATTTGCCTGAACAGAGATGATTCACTATAGAGGGGGGAAAAAAAAAAAGAATGCGCAAACACCTTTAGTGAATCATACTGAAATCAGATATGGACATAAAAGTGATCATTGTTTCTTGCTTCAAGACTTGAGTAAGGATAAATCACAGTAAAATGCTAATACTACTTAGGGTTGCATGATCCCACGTGACAATGATACTGTCGTTTCTGCATCGTACCAAGTGCTCCCTTTTCTTCACTAAACTCTGCATTAGCCAAAAGCCACAGCCAATAACCACAAAGTGCTAGGGAAAGGTACTGAAACCCGGTGCCAATATAGCACCGGTTCCTATACTGTCGGTACCTAGCGGACCAAAGCACAATGCGGATTTCAGTGCCTCATTTTGGTACAACTTAAAACGCCTGTGGATTGAAATATTTTCAGGCAAAAGAAGTATCACTGCATGTCACATGCTAGTGCTGTCATTACACTTGTGCTACCCTGAGATTGCATCGAGGTCTGAATTGCGATTAAGAAACAATTAGCCATGCAGCCCTAATACTAACTAGCTACTACCTAGGGGAAGCGACAATGATGCAGTGGGTAGAGCAGTCGTCTCCCAACCAGAAGGTTGAAGGTTTGCCTCTTGGTGCCGGCAGTCCATGTGTCGAAGTGTCCTTGGGCAAGACACTGAACACCCCCGTTGCCCCTGATGGTTAGAGCCATCGGTTGAGGTGGCGCCGCAGATGGCTGCCATCGGTTCTGTACCGGAAACAAATTCCTTGTGTGTAACATACTTGGCCAATGAAGGAGATTATCCTTATCCTAATACTAACAGTTACAAGTATGTTGTGGCTGCAGTACAAATACATTTAGTTTGGTCTTATCTTGACTCTGGTGATAGCCGTGGCCAGAGGCATTATGTTTTCAGTTTGTAAATGGTCTTAAACTTGTATAGCGCTGTTCTATGCACTGCAGCACACTCAAAGTGCTTTCATACTATTTAGCCATTCACCCATTCGCACTCACGGTATCATCACCAGGAGCAACTGGGGTTCAGTGTCTTGCTCAAGGACACTTCGACATGTGGACTGGACAAACCCAGAATTGAACCGCTAATTAGGGATGCACCGAATATTCGGCCGAAAATGGCCCAAGCACATTGAGCCCTGTTATGTCATGCCGAGCAGACGGCATTTCTCAGAGGTGTGTTTACCTGAGCTGTTTAATGTTGTTGCAACTCACGTCCATGAGCATATAGCTGCAGATATTTCAGCAATCAGTTTCACGACAGACATATGGAGCTCAGACGTCAGCATTACCAGTATGCTCAGTCTAACCGCACAATGGATCAACGCTGATTTCCATCTCCAAAGATTCTGCTCCATTCACAAGAGTTTCGAGGGTCACATACAGCAGCAGCCATTTCTGATGCATTCGCCAATATGTTCGACACCTGGCATATCGACCAATCTAAAGTGCATGTCATTGTCAGTGACAATGCAAGAAATATGACAAAAGCGATAGAAGACAGCCAGCTGAAGGGAATACGGTGCATGGCCCACACACTACATCTGGCTGTGAATGAGGGAGTGTTGTCTCAACGCAGCGTAAAAGACGTACTGGCTATAGGCAGAAGAATTGTTGGCCACTTTAAACATTCTCAGCTGGCCTATTCCCGCTTGCAGTCTATGCAAGATCAGTTTGGAACACCAATAAAATGGTTCCAGCAAGACGTGAGTACGCGGTGGAACAGCACTTTTTACATGTTGCAAAGCCTCTTTGCGCAAAAGCGAGTCTTGGCTGCATATAGCGCAGATCACGAGCTCCCCGCGACATTCACTTCACACCAGTGGGTCTTAATAGAGAACATTCTCTCTCTTCTTGCCCACTTTGAGCAGCTAACTAAAGAGATCAACTCCTCTGATGCATCTGTAGCGGACGTTATTCCTTTAATCGCAGCACTAAAGCATCTGCTAAGCAAAGAGGTTGAGACGGACCACGGAGTGAAAACAATGAAAAGTACACTCTTAGAGTCTGTCAGCACACGTTTCATTGAGATCTATTCGGATCCTCTGCACTTCATCGCAACTGTACTTGATCCGCGTTATAAAGACCATTACTTGGATGCGGAAATAAAGCAGCGCGCACGAGAAATGATCCAGGCCGCAATGGATGCGGAGAACCCGCGTGGAGACGGAGATGGAGCAGCGCAGGAGAAGGAGATCAGAGCTAAAAAAAAAAAAGACTCGTCTCTCTGCACCAGATGAGGGGCATGCACCCTCGTTGTCTGATATGTTCAGTGAAATCCTGCAAGAAAGTGCCTCAAATAATAATAATAATAATAATAATAATAGGTAGGCTATTCTGTTCTTAGGCTACTATATATGTCACTATCAGATTGTAGCCATATTTCTGCTAGATATTTTTTAATTTGATAAAAATGTTTATTTATGCACTGGCCCTATTTAAATACACTCTCTCAAATCTTTCTCAAATGTCAGGCAGATGACAAGCTCAACCACTCAACAGCTAGATGGTTATCTGTCTGAAGTCCCCATCCCCAGAAGTGATAACCCTCTTGCCTACTAGAGAAATAATCACTGCCACTTTCCTGACCTGGCAAAGATGGCACGCAAGTACTTGTCTGCTCTGTGCAGAAGCACTGACAGCGAGAGACTGTTCAGTGCAGCAGCTCATGTTCTCGATGAGAAGAGGAACAGACTTCACTGTGATAAAGCAGAAAAATCTGCCACTTTACCTCAAGAAGTAGAATGGGCTTATTTGTATCTTTAAGCAGTTGCACTTGTTCTGAATGCACTTTCTTGTAGTAGCCCTACAGAGAAAATTTAAAATGCACTTGACCTAAATGCACTTTGTTTTTATGAAAGAACATTTAATTTTATAACCTTTCAGCAGGCCAGTAGGCCTGTACATTATTTAATGTACACGAGTGGGGTCAAGTTAAACATTTTAGTTTGGATTTTATTTTATACTGTGCGTTGTTGCAATGTGCTAAATAAATATTTGCATAATTTGTAATTGATTTATTCTTTGAAACTTTAATATTAATTTATGTAATTGCAATGCCTTGATTTTAGTAAAGTTAGTACACAGTCATAGCCATAAATGCAATGGTGGTACTAATAATTGGCATAATTTCTTTCGGTGTTTCAGTTTTCGGCCAAGAATTTTCATTTCGGTGCATCCCTACCACTAATCTTCCGGTTAGGAGACGACTTGCTCTGCCTCCTGAGCCACAGCCGCCCCCAGCATCACTGCATGTCACGTCTATTTAAAGCATCAGCAGCTGAACTTTCATTGGCCATTATGCCAGATTAAGTCAGTGGATGCACTGAGACCTGACTCAAGCCTTTTCCTAGTTTTGCTCATTTTGTCACTGGACATGGAGAGACGAGATGAAAAATTGCTAATGAATGCTCAAACGCAATTAAGCCTGGGTAACAATCTCCCAAAGGACAGGCGCCGATTTATATCACATCCCGACCCCATACTCAGATTGCTCAGACAAACATTATATTCAAATACCTGTCATCTTTCCTGGTCTTCCTCTTTAGTTTTGGTGAGGTCTTCCAATCCTTAACTGGGAGTCTGTGAGAAGAGCAAGAGCCACAGTTCCCTGAGGAAGATGCCAGACTGGCCACCTCATCGTCAGGGTCACTGAATATATAGACACCATTGATACACACAGCTGAGAGTAAGGAAGCTGCTGTAGTCTATGAGATGTATGTTACTGTGGCTCAAATAAAGCGCTGTGCTTGATTGCGATATCATCTGTCTATGCTGTCTATGTGTGTTTAATTGCATAAATAAGGAGATTGTTCATCTGTGTTACCTCTGCTCTGGACCCGTGTCCTGACTGTCATTCTGTGTGAGGTGATAGGAGCGTTGATGGTAAGGTGAGTTCAAGTGTCTGTCCTGTGACTCCTCTCTTGAACTACAAAACAGCAATCATATTACACAAGCCTCTTTTGAGAAATGGTTCTCATACTGGTCTTACAATTTCAGAATCTTTGGTAACAAGTGTCTACGTTCACCATTAACTATTATCAGTAAAAAAGACAAACCCTTACAATCTTCATTCGTCAATAAATGTAAAAGACACCATACAGACCAAAAGTAGTGATCAGATTTTGCTGAGTCTTCAGAACTTCATGAAATGCTTCACAAAGATTTGCATGTTTATAATTGTCCAGTGTATCTGTATGTGTGAAATCCTACCAGTCTCCAAGACCGTTATCCCTGAGACTGTTCCTGGTTTCTCTGGTGATGTCAGGTGCAGCTGGCCAGGGTGTGTGACTAACATTACCATCTGAGGACCCTCCTCCCACCCCGGGGTTCTCTTGCGATAAGGCATTCTCGAGCAGAGATGGGGTGTGGCTGAGTCTAGGCTCCGACTCTACTGTTCCAGCCACTGGCCCATCTGCACCTCCAAGCTCAAGAGGCAACAAGCTGAGACAGAAAATGCAGTATTTGGATTAATTTAATGGGTCCATGCTGATGTTTTTCTTTATATTTTAAAATCCAGCTTTGGGTTTTCATTCAATAAGATCAGTTAGCAGTCTCTATAAATGTTTTAAAGTTGTGTATTCCATCTCAGTGAATATCAAGTCTGCATTGATCTTTGTAAGTCTATGCACCTGTTGTTGTTGGCTGTGCGTGGGGAGGTAAGGAGGTGTAGAGCAGAGGCAGCAGAGGCCATGCTGTCTGTCTGCAGAGCAGATAGGGGTATGGGCTCCAAACTGGACCCAAGTCCTAGCTGAAGCTGCAGGGTCTGGGATGCAATCTCTGGCATGTCCTGGGACATGGCTGTAGAGGCTGAGGAGATGACATCAGGGGAGCGGGCTCTGGTTGGAGAGGCCAGTGGCAGCAGGAGGGGAGAGTCCAGGACCTGAGGGCTGTCAAGTGCAAGGGGGCTGCTAGGGGACACCAAAGTCTAGGTACAGAGAGGAAGATTTTATTTGGAAAAAAGACCATGCCATAAGTGTTTTGCAAGGTAGAGGTAGGAAACTGTTTGTTCCTACCTGCAGGTTCTCTAGTCCAGACAGCAGCACAACAGAAGCAGCTCTTGGGCTGCTGGTGGAAGTAGAAAATACCAGACTGCTGCTGCTGTTCTCTGCTCTGTTAGGACTCTGACTGCCATCGTCTACAGCTCTACACAAAGTAAGACAGACATATGTTCTCAGCCATACAGGTTGACATGTGCAACCAGAAAACAAACAGGAGCAAATTATGTGGGTGTGTTAATATACATGCAGTAATAAACAGGGTCCGTATATAAATGTGTGGCTACAAACACCAGAAAAAAAACACCCCATACCCTGTAAGTTCTCTGTGCAATTACAATATGAGTTATAACAAATAAAATGGTTGAAAAAGGACAAGCTACCCTATAACATATATAATCTGTACTACAGACACTGTATTTGATCCTAAATGGACTGTGTAGAGAAATCTACCTGTTAGTTGAGTCCGTGTTACTGCTAATAGCTGTTACAATAGTCAGACTGCTGGCGCTGCTGCCAGGAGAAGCCGGGACCTGGAGAATGACAAAAACAGTGATCTACAGGCAGCAAATAACAAAGGGATTGGAAAATCACTCAGTGGTTAGAAACCATTGTTGTTAGTTACATCTTTTGTTAATTTCCTTGCATTACTTCACAATATTGACCATTTAACAAACAAAACAAAACTAAAGAACAATGCAGATGAGTGGGATGACTCAAATCACAGCTATGTTCTCATGACTGTCATTGTTAATGTGACTATCTTCCAAAAAGAGTTGTCAGACAGAACTGTACCTAACGTCACACATGAACTGAAGACTTCCTTTATATTTAGCCGTTTGACGCAGACCTTAACGTAAACTCAAACAGCCAAAGAAAACGCAGGTCTTCCGTTTGTATGGACTGTGTAATAATAATGGGTTTAGAGACCTGTGTCTGCTAAGTTCCGGGAGTAGCACTCACCCAAAACATGTTCAACAGATGCAGTATGCTGTTTACATAGCGTTTATATAGTAAACAGCATACTGCAATGATAGAGTGTAACATTATGCATTGATCACGAGCATATGTACTGAAGTGCTTGGTGTCATGAAGGCGTCAGGAGTCATCAGCTTGAGCATCGGCCCGCTGCCAGTGGCAGAGTTTGAAAGGAAGTCAGCAGGTGGAGGAAGAGATGGGATCTTCCTTAGGTCAGTCTGGGAGCCACTTCCTGACTCCTTGTCAGAGCTGTGGTCAGTGAGATGGTCTGAAAACCCTGCTGGAAACAAAATGTAAAGCCCACTATTAGCTGTCCAGTAATATCTGACATACAACAAAAGCACATAAACAAAGTGCTATATTTATAGCATGTAGAATGAAAGCATCAACATGTATTCGCAGCACTTTTTTTTGCCATTCACAACCCAGAATTTATATAAGAATTTTGTAGTGACAGGTTGAAATGTTAAATACCATAATTGTAAATTAAAGCTAGAAAAAAAACAAAGCAAAACATGGAGGAGAGGTCGAGAGGTGATAAGCCCAGCAATACTAAAGGCCACTTGGCCTCACACTAAACCCTTTGAAGCCAGCCACTTGAGTTCCAATTGACACACAAACAGCCCAAACGACACACAAACACCTCCAAACAACTCCAGACATACACACACACCAGTCCCCAACCCCTAGCTCAACCAGACAAGCAGGGGCGGGCGCACTTGGTCAGATGGCCACTTACAGTACTGTTGGATGTGACCAATATGCCATGTTTACAACCTATTGGTGGGTCTCCTTGTCAGTTATGAGGGTTATTTGCATGTTTTATGATCACCTTGAAAGACGACACCCACCCTTGTTGCTGGGCAGACAGAATATTTAGAGCTGGAGACCAGTCTCCCCCCTGCGCACTATCCACAGTATAGATAGCAAGCATGTTAGGCGCATTAGTAGTGAGACGGCCCTGGAAATCATTTTTAGGTGAGAGAAGATTCTGATGTTGAAGCAGACGAAGAAATCTCATATTTGGAGGACAACATTACTCTCGGGTGAGCCAAAATAACGCGTAAAACGAGCGGAGCAGTGCGTCAGCGAGGCGCGTCTCAGGAATGGCACAGCCGGTCACAGGTTGGTAATTCATGTAAAATACAGTCTGTTTGATAATAAAATGTGCTCTGGGAGTGTTAGATAGTGGTTCACATTTGTAATTTATTATGTTGTGGTTACCGCAGGGTAGAGCCAAGCTAATACGGATATAGTGGAGGAGTGCGTGAGCGACGCACGTCTCAGGACGGCACACACGTCACCAACGTCACACATGTCACAGGTTAGTTATCCCCACGCAACTTACAGTGTGTCTGAGTGATAGAGAGATCATCCCGATCAACACCGCTGCAGAAACACACACACAAAGACGCAGTGATCGCTGTATTCATATGCAAATTGGGGGCTTTGATGTGTAAATAGCCCCTGAGTGGCCTGCTGGGGGTTGTTTGGCAGAGTGTCTGCATGTCTCTCTAAGCCTGAGAGGTGGCTGATCCTAGTAGAGACAGTGCAAAATTGTTTGTAGATGTGGACTTATGAATCCATAAAGATTGTTTGGGCCTGTTGGACCCGAACAGAAGGAACGTGTAGTACATTTAAACAGAACACATTAACTAAAGCAATAATACCCCTCTCTACACATTTGGTACAGTAGAATTCACAAATGTTTATCAACGTGCAAATGAAAAAGAGACTTAAGTAAACAAAGAAATGCTCATCTCGATGAATTGGGGTTTGCCCTTCATGTCTGCTTTGTGAGACTGTTCATGGGAATGTTTTTAAAACTGCAAATTTACCAAAACAATCTTGAGAATCAGAACAGGGTAGGAGGTCCGCAGAGTTGGAACCCACAGTGGGCTGGAACCAGATCTGAACATCCTGCAGACTCCTAAAAACACAGAGACACAAACACGTTAAGACACATATAATAGCACCCTCATGCGGGCTCAGTCACAGTGCACGCTTCTTAACTTTAACTTTGGCCAGTGTGCGAACCTGCTGCATGCCTTTGAAATTCTATACAGTGTGATTCACTTTACTTGACTGCCATAATTAAAAACTATTCTTTGGTAATTAGGTATTTATTTATCGGCTGCCTGTATGGGAAATTGCCCTTGGGGAATTTTATTCTACCCTACTAAAGCCAACATAAGCTGACATCAGGTAATGTGAGACTTACTTGGTGTGAACACAGAACAGTTTAATCTGGATCCCAGACTTTGATTCTGCAGCTCCTTGATTACCCTCTGGAAGGAAACACAAACACATAAAAAAAAGATACTATATTAACTAGGATCAATGCCAGGGTTTTCCCTAGGGGCATTTACTTAACTGTTTCTGCGTAGCGCCTATGCAGAATGAACATAAAAACGCAACATATCAGAATGAATGTGGGTTATATACACTGAAAAAATAGAAAGGTGACTTGGTCTCAAATGGAAACAAACTGGCAACAGGAGTGACCTGTCAATCAACAATCAGTGTTGAACATTTGTGTGATTGATGTATGACAGCACTGCCGAACAATTGAACAGCTGACAGGATATTTTTCTGTACTGTCAACTAGGGGCAGCCATCGTTAAGGTTAACCTCATTCCCCACTACTGTCCTCACTGACAGAAACAGTTGTCTCCCCTGTTCCTGCAGTGTAGTGTGAGAACCAGCCACAAACAGTGATGCAGGTCCTCATTTAGACAGTCATATAGCAGTCAGGTGGTATGAGTTGCCTTGCCTACCTACATGTACAAGTTAATTAATTCACATACATCATAATTTAATCAACTGAGTGAGCACCCAAGCTGTCTGAAAACCTGGGGAAAGCTCTGAATGCTGCTACACATTTAATACAAAAAAAGGGGATAATTTTCTTAATTCAGGAGTGTTCCCCAAAAGTCACCAAATAAAAGCAGAAAGCAAATAAATTGCTGTGTGAGTGGCAGCCCTTGAACTATCTACATGACTAACAATATGCCATGTATTAAAGGACAAAGATTTTATGGTAACAGGAATGATCAAAGGGCTACAGGAGTGAAGAGAGCAATTTGCGTTTTGTGATGCAAGTGCACCTGTGGTCAGGCTCTCACTCTCCTCCTCTGTAGGGAGGACTTCAGTGTGTTGCAGTCGGCTATGGGCGACATCCTGGACCCCAAAGCTGAGCACAGGGTGGGTGAGCAGGAACTCCGAGACAGCTGTGAAACTTGCCTTGCCTTTCTCCAAGTCCTGCAATAGCTCCATCACATACAGAACCTGGCAAAGGATAACATTGACAAACTATAAAGTCAGGGTCAGAATGAAAAGGTAATGTGAGTAGCAAGAATGTTGGATTGGTCCAGATAGGATTTAATAAATGGCCAGTTACAAGAAAAGACTGAGCCTAGTTCTAGCAAGAGGGGCCTTTTAAATAAAAATGCAAACCAGCTCTCGGAAACGTGGCACACACCCAAAATTTATCATATTTAATCAGTATTTAATTAATTGAAAAGTTTCTGAAGGAAGATTTGAACTTGGTTTATCTTGAGTTTTGAGCTGTATGTCAATGGAGTAACACTGAGTAACAGCTTAACTATACTGCTTTGTATCTCTATCAAAGAATGTTACGTGACTGAGCAATTAATTGGTGAACATTTCTGGAACTATGTAACTGACAGCACTGCGCTAACCTTCCTCTGTACATCAGTGAGGATGAGATACTCAGCAGAGAGGTCCAGACTGGCCTTCAAGCTTGGCAGAGCTGAGGAGTTGAATGGATCTGGAGAAAACCTAAGGGAGGAAAACAATCTATCATTAGTATCTTAATGGCATAAGCTTCACATAACAGAATTAATCATCCCTAAATGTCTTGACTGGTCCAAGTACCAATTTGATGGGTAATACCACATTATACCACTAACAGGAGATGGGAGTAATTTAAATTTGAGATTACTGATAGACGAATTACCTGATGGTCTGTAAACAGGTCCAGGAAATGGTGCACCACAACTTCAACTCCTGGTTCTGATCCGCTCCAGTTATTAGGAACCGCCAGAAAGGAACACTGCAATGAAGAAACATGTAATGGATGTGAGGCAATGTAAATTAACCAATCTAATGGCAACAGTCTTCGTTTAATACATGTACTGAATGCCAGTTTTCACAGAAAGCTGAGTGTGCACCCGTGTGTACTAACTCTGGGTCCTGCCTCTTGTGGTTGTCACAGAAAAGAAGGCAGGAGAGAGGACGTCCTCCATGAGGCCGCAATTCATGAAGGCATCTGGATAAGTGTGTTTGCAAAAATGAAAAAGAAAAGAAAACAAGATGAGAGAGCACCAGAGGAGCAGAGTGAAGAAAACAATCAAAAGGTGAAAAATATACTACATACAGTGTAAACACATCCTTGCTTACCTGGGTTGGTCCTGTCCCCCTTCTATGTAAATCTGCCAAAACTTGATGTATCCATCATGGCTGGCTGTTGCCAACACAGTTCCATCTGGAGACAGGGCCCCTTCACTGACCTGCTGGAGAGACAGACATGAAGCAATACTCAGTGTCAGCACATCAAGACATTTCTGTATCACACCCAAAATAAACAGCATATCACTTTGCACTCCCTGTTAAGGCTGGGCCAATGAATGCTGCTGTCGTCCATCATGATGGTTAAGTCAGCATGATTGATATACTGTACCTGTCTAAACAAATCGTTCCTAATCGTTACACCCAGAACTGTTTGGCCACAGCAGTGTGATAGACAACAATAGTCCTATTAGCAAAGCTCACTATGAAAATCATTCAGGTAGCAGCTTCCTGCTTTTTAGTCAGTGCTGTATCTGATTCACGTTATGCATGAATCCTTTCATTAGTGTTTCATACCTACCTGGTTATGTCCCTTGACTGTGATGAGGCCTTCTTTCAGTTCTGTGGCTTTGACAGGCCAATTGCTGTTGTTGGCTCTCAGGACCTCCAGGTCCCACACCTCAGCCTAGAAGAGCAAGACAAAAATTAAAATTTCAGGATGCAGGGTTTCACTTTGTCTCCTGATACAATTCCATCTCCTAAATGAGAACAGTGTTGATCTGAGGTGGTTTTCTTCTTTCTAAAGTTACAATTATCATTATTATCATTACTGATCTACTATCATGAAGTCACTCCCCTAACCTAAAGCTACAATAAGTAGCATTTTCCTTCTTTTTTTTGTAGAAACATCCCCCAACACTTATCTAAATGGGTAGAGTTGCTATCGAAGTCTCTATGACCCTTCTAAAGGTTTTTGTCCAGAATAACAGTGTTAACAAGTCAGAGAAGGCCATCGTCATGGGTGGGAACTCACAGCTGTCAGTTAATATGTGAACATGGTTCAGCTCTACTGACATAGTCGCAGGCTAGCGAGGTGCTAATTTCAGTGTTAGCTGGAACAGCTACACAAAAAATAAGGTCAAGATATTTGAGTTTTGAAGAGAATGAAGTAAAGAACCCAAAAAATTTAATTTCAGAAAGTTATAGCTGCGCAGCTTTCAGCAGATGAAGAGAGTTGACAGAACCTGATCTGGCATACTTTCTGCTTAAATAGTATATTGTGAATGTATTATTTATAGTAGTATAATAAGAATTCAAACCATTGTCCTTAACCTAACTTCTTGTAGAAGGGTTGTTCATATTTTAATGGTAATTGTCAAATTTTGTAAAACTACACCGTGTGGGGGGGTCTAGCCTGACCTCTGCTCAACAGTGTGTTTTATTCAATTTCAGGCATGTGTCCTATATATGATAGAAAACCTTGAGTGGCTAAGTATTTTTTGTGATGCGACTGTGCAAAACAGCTTCACAAAACTGCTGTGGACATGCAGGACCCACTCCTATTTCCCTGCCGATATTCCTAGACTGTAATGGCTGTAAATGTGTCCTATCTTATATGAACTGTAAGAACTTCCACTACACTATCATGTAGTGGAAGTTCCTACACATTTGTGTTGTTTACAGCAGACATGAAGTAGGGTAGTCAGCTCAATGAGTTTCCTCTACAATAATAATAATGGTAAGGTCTGTTCACTGGACTTCGAGGCTATGTCTGTCCAGTGCAGACCGTTTTATTTGCCACGGGAGCTAACAGTAGTCATCATTACTGCTATTTACATACCACCAGATGCTAACGTTAGCATGGCACTCGGTCACCTCCAACACATAATAAACAAGCAACAGAGAGCTCATCCTGACGGCGTTCACATCATTGCTGGGGATTTTAATAAAGCATGTTTAAATACTGTGCTCCCCAAATTCTATCAACATGTCAAGTGTCCAACCGGGGGAGATAACACACTTGATCTTGTATATTCCAACATCAAGCATGCCTATAGAGCAAAGCCCCTCCCCCACCTAGAACAATCTGACCATCTCACCCTGCTCCTAATACCAGCCTATATCCCCATCAGGAAGAGAACAAAGCCAAACAGTCAAACCATCAGGAGCTGGTTTGACAACGCTCTCTCCCAGCTTCAGGACTGTTTCGCCTGTACAGATTGGAACATCTTTAGACAACAGGACTTCGAGACATACACTCACCAGGACTTCACTGCCCTCTCTGCAGAGCATTTACCACCACAGGGTGTGTAGGAAGGCTCCCTCCATCCTCAAGATCCCACCCACCCCCAGCACGGACTGTTCATGTTCCTACTTTTAGCTTTTAAAGCAGGTGACACCTCACTGTACAGCACTGCCAGAGCCGACCTGAGAAGGGGCATCAAACATGCCAAGGAGATGTACAGGAGGAAGGTAGAGGGCCACTTCAGGGACAGTGACCCATGGCAGATGTGGAGGGGCATACAGGCCCTGACCAATTATAAAGGTCAGGGCCCAACAAACACCGATAGCAGCAGCACTCTGGCAGACGAACTAAACAACTAATTTGCACGTTTTGAGACCGCCAGGAATCCGCACACAGTGCCTCATGAGAACTACAACACTGCACCTCTCTCTCTTCAGGTGCATGAGGTGAGGAGAACGATGAGAGCAGTGAATCCCAGGAAAGCTGCAGGACCTGATGGCATTC